TATTATTATTAAAGTATTCGTTATCACATCCTATTGTCTCTTTTGTTCGGTACAAATATAAAAAGACCCACTTCGACAAGAGCAACAACAAGACAAACACAACAATTACAACAACAGCAATAAGAACACCAAATGATCGACATTACGTGTACCAAACAAGTTGGCATTGTTTATCTCCCAAATCAGAACATAACAACAAACACGTGTATACATGTGCCTCAAATGCAATGGATATCCATACAAATGATGCTCCGAGACTCTGTTCTGACCTCTCTACCTTAAGCCGGTCGATAAAGTTTTTCTTATCAGGTTTTTACTTTCGTATACTAGTTTAGAGAAAAATAGAAGTAGAGACTAATTTGTCTAGTCAGTATGTAATTTTTCAAAGCCACCCACAAGCTGATAACTGTGGCATTAAGTTTAGCAAATTTCTGTTTTGTTTTTGTCTTTTTCGATATTCTTTTACACTTTTTTTTTCGTATTTTGTATTCTTTTATCGTATTCCCCTATACCTCTGTGTTTTTTTTTAGTTTGTTTGTTTTATTTTCTGATTTTGCTTCTTGATGAGCGGGTAGCTGCCAGCCGATGAACAACAGGAAAAAAGTCCTTAGTGAGTTAAGGACTCTGAGGGAGGCTAAGAGCTACTAAGGCAGGTCGCACCTGGTGTATAAAATCACGTGAGTGAGTTCGTCATTTGGTTGGATCTACTTTAGTTAGAGATAAATTATTTATAATTTTGAATAACTTGATCCCAAATAAACAAGGACAGATAGCCAAATTAGAAAAAAAAATAAACAATGTATCTAATTGTAACAATATGTTATACACTTATTTGTAACAACTTACTTAGCACAGCCAATAAAAATTCATAAAAACCAAACCCTAACTCTAACTACTATTGGCTAATTGCAATGTTGTTACTGTAACATATTGTTACAAATACATTAATTCTTTAATAAAATATAAAGAAAATACTAAAAGTAAGTTTAAAACTAAATATATATACTTTAGCTTGTAATAAAAATTATTCTTTAGATTAAAATTTAGTTAAATAATCAAAATAGCCAAGTAGATTGTTTACAATAGCTTGTTTATTTTTTTAATAATATATAATTAATATATATTATATCAGTCATACAGGATGTTGTGCAGATCATGTATGTAAAATTCTTGATATGGAGTCAAATGATTGACATACCTAATTTTTATATATAAAATTTAGAAAAATTTTTATTTTTTAGATTTATTTAATAATAAATTTTTTTTGGTTAATTTTAGGTATCATTTGCAAATTCCTTAGCATTTGAAGATTCTTTTTATAAAATTTCAAGGATAATTTAAGAAAATAAAAAATAATCTTTACTATGAAGTTAGCTAATTTTTTTACGATTTTTACTATTTGTTTATAAGTGATATATGTTGTTTAACCAAAATAGGTAATAATAATCATTCAAGTAATTAAATATTTATCATTGGCTATTTTAGGCAAACAACATATATCACTTATAAACAAGTAGTAAAAATCATAAAAAATTAGTTAATTTCACGGGCAAAATTATTTTTTATTTTATTTTAAACTATCCTTAAAATTTTGTAAAAACAATCTTTAAATGCTAGAGAATTTGCAAATAATACCCAGAAATTAAACTAACAAAAAATTATTATTAAATAAATAAAACAAAATTTATATATAAAAATTAGGTGGTTAATCATTTGACTCTATATTAAAATTGATCTGCACAACATCCCATATAACTGATATATAAAAAATAATTATTATAAAAATTTAAATAGTTATTGAAGGAGATCTACTAAATCTTTTTAATAATTTAACTACTTAGAATTGTTTTAGTTTAAAAAATAGCTTTTATTATAAACAAAAAGTAGATTTACTTAGTCCTAAACTACTTCTAAAGAATTTTTTGTTTTGTTTATATATTAGTAGTTACTTAAAATTTATATTTATTTTAAATTAATGCCTATATATATACTTTAATTAATATATATATACTCAAAATAATATTCAGATATACAGTCAATTCTCTCTAAATATATGTTCTCTAAATACATATTTTCTCTAAATGCAGATTCAAATTTGGGGCCCACATATATATTTGATCTCTATAAATACATTTTTCTTAATTGTTCTCTTAATGCATGTTGCTAAAAGTCTGGTTCTAATGCAATGCATTTAGAGAGAGTCAATTGTATATTATTTTATAGTTTTATAATATAATATAATTGTTACTCAAATTTAAATAAATTTTTAAATGAATTTGTTTAGTGATAGAACCTCTTAAATTATTAATAATTAAAATTATTATTACTATTTGGTCAAGTTATTAACTAAACATTACTTAATAATATAAGTGCAATAAATCAATCAAAAATATTTATTAAATAATTTTTAATAAATTTAGATTTATAAAACTAATTTCATTACAATTTTTTGTAATGATATAGAAAATTTAACAATTAATTGAAATTATTAATTTTTTATTATTAACTAAAATTCAAAAATTGCATTATATATTTTATAATAAAAATTTTAATATATTTAAACTCCATATATAAATACATAATCTTAAAGATTATGCTAAGTTAATACTTATTTTGAAATAGCAAATCTAATAGCTCTGATCAAATTTGCAGATCATTTAGCCAAGTTCAAAGTTTTTGATTCAGAATTTAACCAATTAATCTGCAAAAGTTTTGCTATTTAGATCAAAACTAGTTTGCCTCATGTTGCTTATGCAATACATTTAGAGTTTTAATTTTTTGAATTTAGTGACTAAATATAAGTCAATAGACAAGATTAATAATTTTGAACACTAAATTAATTTACAGATATTAAGTTTAATGTTATGCATAAAAGATAGAACATAATAAATAGTTAAGTTTTTATATATTAGAGAGAAAATTTTTAAATTTAATGTGGTTTGCAAAATTATGTAAAAAGTAATCAAAATTGTGTAATTATTGGGTCAAATCAGGAGATAAAAATGAATGTAAACAAAAATGCAGATTTGACTTCATGTAGTGTATTTTGAAAAATCTTTTAACGAAATGACAGGGTGATTATTATTGCGAAATAAGATGACTTTATTGAATCACATATTCAATTTGTTGTTTTACCTTTATAGGTTTTTGTGTATAGTCCTTATTGTATCTTGTTAAATACAGATATTTTTCTGATCAATATTGTGATTTTATATAATTGTGGAAGATATGAGTTACTTTGATAAGCAAGATTGTTTTCCAGAAATATTTAAAGGCCTTCAGTTAGTAGAAAATGTATCATCGGTATTAAGTTTTCATTTAATGAATTATTTTTGTAATTGAAAATTTTTTTTTCTTTATTATAATAAAGCATTCATTAAAAAGATCATTTTCTTAGAAAAAATTTTCTTCTTTGAAAAAGCTATTAATCGATGGTATAGATTCCTCGCCAGAACCAATATTATTAGAAGGTATCATCATTTTATTGATGGTAATCTATATTTTTAAACCCGATTTTTTTTTAAAAAAAAACACAGTTACGATCATTGCCTTCGTTATTTAAAGGCACTATTAGACTTCGGGTTTTGATTCGTATTACTCCTATAGGCATGAGTACGTTTAGTTATTATAATTTAGGCTGAATTATAAATACTAGTAAACAAATTAAGTCATTGTGCCATTTCATACATTTATACAACATTGCATAACTAATTATTGTTTCATTTTGTTTTGAGAACTTTTTAATCATTTATTTAAAAATCGGCTATTTAAGTTTCTGTGTATTTACCATTACGCATTACATTGTTTCTCATTTATTAGCATTGATTTAGTTGGTACTTGTTGATTATAAGCGCTATTGTTTATATTCTATGATGCGGATTTTTTTTTATCACCTGGTAGATCAAAAGTCGTTTGACATTTCAAATAAAAATTTTATCGTAATAGTTTTATCAATCTTAATGTGACTATCTCTGTGTCAAAAATAAACTGTTCTGATTCGATTTTTTTTTAATAGAACTAGAAATTGCGCATGCGGGTGATGAAGACGCCAGTTTCAGCTAATTTGATATAGTGGACATGTGCTAATTATAATAATATAATATTTATTTTAAATTCACCCTTTTTTGATGAAATACAAGACTATTTTTGAATAAATTATAATAAAGTTGATTGATATCATATCGGATGATTTTGATAAGGAAATCCAATCTCCCCAGTGACGCACCTCATTAGACATATGAAATTATATATAATTGACGCACCCTAACCTGGGGAGATTGGATTTCCTTATCCAAATCAGCCGACATGTTAATTTTTTATATAGATATCGGCCTCTTTTGCAAACTTTGCTATATAATTTTATCATAATATTGTGGACGATTTTTTTTATAGTTCTCACCCGTATTTCGCTCGGTCTTGTTTCTATATAACGTATAATGACTTGTTACATTGAGATCATCAATCACGGGAACATCTAAATTCACGAATTTCATGGCTTTTTTTCCGTGTAAACTGTTTTCACATTTTTCTTAAACATAAGAGTCCTCGTTACGCTTCGAGCAATTATATAAATAATTTTTATAGTTGCATTTATATAATTTAAATTTAGGAATGAGCATTAGTTTTTTCCCATGATTTTTTCATTGCCATTGATGATCAACGATTATCAATATATAAAAAATTCAGTAACGATGAAAAGAAAAAAAAAGGCTAAAAGTGCGGAAATCACATATATTAACTTAGATTTTGTCGCAATTAATGTAACAACAATTGTATCAGCATTAATAGCAATATCAATTGCAATCAATATATAAACATTTTTATAAAAAATTCCTTTTCTGGAATTGTGAGGAAATTTTGGCAGTAACGGTAAATCCACTACACAAAAACACTATGTAAGTTTGAATACGCTTTATTCGTGTATTTAATATTTAACGAAATTTAAATAGCAGCATGCTATATTTTTATTTAATTAAATTTATAACCAATTGTAAAACTTGAGATTGGCACTCGTCAATTAGTAATTGACAAAATTAAAAATGACGTGGAACCGTAAATCATTTGTTAAATTTTTTTTTATTGATTTATTTTATTTTCTTTCTCAAATAAGAAACTTATTGCATTACCACATGTCAAGTTTAATGCAACATTATACGAATGAAGTACATTCATTAACTAAAATTAGATGAATTCATCAACGAGTTGATAGTCTTAACTGTCTGCAAACATCATTGCATCTATGACTATCCAAAAAACATCTATTAATTCCATTTCTACCTAGATTAGTTCTTCCAAATCTTAAGGGATCAATACAATGTATCGCTGGATCTGTTAGAAAGAACTGATCAGGTGATTCAATTCCTTGAAGATCAGAAACAACTAAATATCCTCCTGTGTGCTCATACGTAAAATGTACAAATGCCTCAAGAACTGGTCGATATTCTACAATAACACCAGAATTTACATTAAACCGTTTAAACACTGCATCTTGAAGTTCTGATTCTGAAATATAATAACGAGTCCTACCATCAAAGGTAGCACGTACTAGATTTACTCTAAGAAAATTTACAAAAGGAATACCTTTTCCTCTTGCTTTCGAATTAAACTTTATAGTAAGATAACTTGTTAAAGCTGAAATTTCCGTAGACTCAAGATACTTTTCAAATGGATTTGCTGTTCCATCTGTCAAGTATTCTTTCATCACAATTCGCCTTGGTGGATCATATTTAGTATTAATAGCATAATATGCATATTTTTCAACACCAGCAGCAAATGGTTTTTGTGCGATCTTGAAATGAAAGGTCTTAGAAATGAGGTTCTTTTTATCATAAAATCTTGCATTTTTAAGTTCCGCTACGTCTTCAGGAATATAATAACATAAAGTTACACCTTTTAGAGCTGGACGAGTAACCCAATCAGGAATATTTCTGTCGATTTCAAGTCTTCGTGGTGATGAATTTAAATTCCTTCTAGTTCCAATGGTGCTGGTTAATGAAACAGACAGAGTAATAGATAATGTAGTAGCTACGACAAATTTATTAATTAATTCTATTGGATCTCCTCCTACAAGTTCAAAAATTGAAAATTCGCCAATAATACTACGAAATACTTCGATCATAGTATCTGTATAATTTGTTATTTTTCCAAAAAAGTAGAAAATATTCTCGGATTTCTTTTTTTCTAATACACTCTCAGCTGTCAACCCATTTGGATCTCCATCTGGATATTCATCTTGCATGGTAGTAAAACGTTTACCGTGAGGTGGATAATCTCCAATATGAAAAAGGACTCTAGTACCATCATTCCAACTCATTTGAGTTATAGCAGCATGAAGACCTCCAAGCACATCTTCTGGACCGTCGCCACCACCTGTGGCTGGCACTGAAGTTAAATTTCTTCTAAATTCTTCATACGAATTTGTAAAATCGAAAATTTGCAGTCGCGAGGAATTATCACAATGATCGCGATAACCACAAAAACCAACTTTAATTTTAATGCTTGGATTTGTACTTTTGATGTATTCTGTCACTTGTAAAATACAATCCTTGGCCGCTGCGATATGTCCTGCCATAGAACCTAAATATGTAATATGATAACAAATGTCAAAAAATAAATTTATTCGGAAATTAAAAAATAACTAAATAATTCAGATGATAACAAATGTCAAAAAATAAATTTATTCAGAAATTAAAAAATAACTAAATAATTCAGATGATACAGACCAGTACAATCTAAAACGTAACAAAGATCAACTTCCATTGCACGCTCTATGTTAGCAAGTGTCTTAAGTATAGCCTTCTCTCTTCTTCTTATAACTTCTCTTCTTCTGAGTTTTGCATCATCAGTGGTAGCTGAAGGTACGATTGTGGATGAGCCAGTAGATACATGTGTGTTGTTAGTAACTGTTTCATTAGGTGCGGTTGCAGTTACATGGTTAGTAACCGTATCAGTAGATACAGATGTATTATTAGTCCTGGTTGCAATTTCAGTTGGTACTTCATCATCATAGCGTCCAATACGTTCGCCTTCAATGTCCATTCTTTCAAAGTCCTTTACAAAGGATGTAGGTAATGAAGAGGTATTAGACCTCAACTCTGATTCATCGTCAATTCTAAACCTATTAGTACCATCTTCAGAAATTTCGGTACAAATTTCCGTAGTTTCTCTATATTCAGTGTTTGACATTTTTTTTTATTAAAGAGAAAGAGGAATAACACCTGTAAATACAGTATGTTTATTAGTTTACTAACGTAATCATTCTTTAAATAATAGAAAAAAAAATGCTGTTGCTGTATTCTCTTTTTGGATTTATTAAAAAAAAAAAGATAGCACGTAAACTTGGTTTGTCCTGTTTGATTATGCAAATCAGCCTACAGTTGCATACTAATTTTCCTTGATAATATAAAATTCATAAGTAAGCTAATATCGATATGCGGTTATTGTTCTATAGAATAATATTACAGGATTTGTGAAATTCATTTAAAATTTACTTACGAAATTGGGCGTGAATTCCATATGAATTTTATAAAATTCGTAAATTTCAAAGGTTCTAAATCTCCCACGAAGATAAGTTGGGTGACCAAGTGTTTTCTGCTCACATTTTCAAATCACAATACGTATATACGTACGTACGTACGTACGTAATCAAGAAATTGATTACGTAGTAACATTCGAATTTCTTGCAGATTTGTCATTGTTTCCATAATCGTAACAAACCTGCAAAATTATACATATCAAAATTAGGGGTAGCTGCGCAGCGCGTGACGCGGCGCAGAACCAGTACGATCACGTATGCACGTTGTGTAAGGCACCATTGCCACTATCGACCCATTTTCCATTTTTTTTTAATTTTTTTTTTTATTACCTTTTTTTTTTACCAAATTGTTGTATTTAGTAAAAGAAAAATTAGATTAGTAATACAAGCTCATATATTAAAATTGATCCTGATTAAGTTTGTGATCAATGCCATTGTACCTGCTTCGTGAACCTGACCTTGTACATCTTTGATTGATCAATTTAATCACGAAACCAGTCGCAGTATCACTAACGAAAGAAGTAAACTATTAGTAAAGTAGAAAGAAAAGCGACTTAATCATCAAACAAAAGCAAAAGGACCTCCCTCTAAATTCAACACTATTGTATAAATCCAAAATAATCTGATTACTTGGACTAAGTCTTTCCATGCCTTGATCGAAGCCTTACTGATATTAGTATTCTAGTTTGGATAATTTGCTTGTATTAGTGTTTGTAGTGAGTTGCATATTTCGGCCCAGAAACTATTCTGATGCAACTCATTTTCTTTATGTGAGGAGTCGAGTAGGAGTCAAGTAGGAGTCGAATAAGAGCCGAGTAGAAGTGGAGAAAGAGTCGATTGAGTTCTATGTCCACCTTTTAATTACCACTAAATAATAAAGTATATGCTTATCCGAATTTCCCTTGAGAATTTATCTTTGAATTTGACTTGTAACTTAATAAACTCTTTCGAGACTCAATTCGATAGCTGAATTGACTTGTAACTTTGAATTGGTTTATTAAGACTTGGATCCTAGAATGTTTGTGGAATCAGATATTGCCATTCACATTAGTGACCTGCGAGAATTGTGGTAGAGAACGATACTTACGATCGGTTATTCGACTTAGAGTTATCACCGACATCACTTGATCATCGTCCGCTTTTACCTCACTATCCTTAAGGAGATATCCCTAACAGCATCGATTCTCATTAGCCATTTCCGAGGAAAAACAAGACCTACAAAAGAAAAAAGATATCAGTAACGGGATCAAAAAAAGGTCAAAACCACGCTCAAAAAAAAAAAAAAAATAGTAAAAATGAAACAACGAACCATCCAAAATTCAAAAAAAAAAATGAAATTAAAAAATTTAGTTAGCTTGACTTTGCACTATAAAATATAATTATTAACGTCAGTTGCATCATAATGATAAATTCGAAATTAATAATCAGTGATGTTAACCATGCATCATAATGAGATCTACATGCGGAATTATATCGTACGTAATGTAAAAATCTTAGCTCCTTCTAAAAATAGATAAATGAAAATCATAATGTTTACCAAGAAAGGATTTTGAGAAAATCAGCCTAAGCGACATCAAAAAAGTTGAAGGAAACCATCCCTCCACATTTCATGTTACACAAAAAATGTGATCGTACTGGTATTTAATTTGTGATTGATCACAGGAAAGAGGGATTTACTCTGGATCGGGCACTGTCTCTGCTGTTTATATCACTTAAATTTTAATAATCACAACATTCCCATCAAAAGTTATTACGTATCTAAAAATATAGCAATGATAATTTATGCAAATAAAAAAATCTATCTACTATTACGTACATGTAAATATGAAGCTAATTATTAAATATATAAAATAATGCCATGTTATTTATTTTGGCAGATTATATTGTTGCCACCATGACGTCTGCTACATTTTAAGTTATTTTTACTACAAGCACAACGTTTAGACAGACAATTTCCTTTACAATTACAAACTACTGGATTTACAAATATACCACTTTGTTTAATACCGGCTGTACGTAAGAAAAGCTGGTTAGATGTCATTTCAGAATAGATGGTTCTAATGAACCTATATTACATGCACGAAACATGCCGAATACAAGTATTTAAAATAACGTTAGTACAACCAAACTTATAATATTATTTGTGAACATATTGTCGATTAGTATTATACTTTCTTTTTTTAGATTCGATATGAAAATTTTTTTCTAATTATTTGTATAAACTTGAAAATTTAATTCTTAGTGTTATCTAAAAATTTTAGTTGTTCAATCTTTACATGTTTATTCTTTCTTTTGCTTGCAGTATTGATTATGCCAATGTTGTTTGTACAATTCATTCACATCTTGTATTATTGATGGCACTTGGAAAATGTATGCCAGGTTGCGATCGGATGATCATCCGGAAAGTTCTGTCGTAATCATAAGAACGTTCGGAACCAAAATTACTTATTTGCATCATGTTAAACATTCCATAAAAAGTTTATAATCGATATTATTATTAGCGTTAGCTTAGCATCGATTGTCTTTTCTTTTTGCAAAAAAACGAGAGATGCAATAATTGTTACAAACACGTTTTAATATTGTAAACAAGATTTCATTTCGGTAATTAAAACCTGAATAAACTTTGAATATATCGAACCTATCTATGCTGCTTCAGCAAATATTTTCGTTAACTTATAAGTATCAAGTTGAAAATTACAATGACTAAATGTGGAAATAAGCAATTTTCAGCCGTTTAAGGAATATATTGAAAATGGTTTGTAAATTTATTTTATTCATAATAATT